GTCTTTTTGCTTTGTGTTTTTTTTCTGTAGAGTGTTTCATCCTTCAGGCAAACTAATTGTTCCTCTGGTAAGACAGAAGCTGAAAGTGAATTTGAAATGTCTGATTTTTTTGTTATTTTCAGCAGATTACCCTCACAAAATTGGAAACTCTGATCTCTTTGAGATTCTATTCCAAGGGCTAATGGAAAGCCAAGCTGCCAACTATTTTATGAATTTGTGGGTGTAAGGTGATGAGAAATGAGGAAATGTTAATTTCAACATTTGGAAAAGGCTTCTAATGGGGCTAAAAAAGGTTTTGTAACAACCAAGTTGTCTAAAGTCAGTGGTCACTGGTTATAGGAAAGGGTGGATATTTTCCTGTGAAAAGCTAGTTAGATCCACAATAAAAATAGGATCACATTGACTCCCCTAGAAAGAAATTCCAGAGTTTAGGATAAGGTCTTGCTGTACTGCATCTTCTATGACTGAAATGAAGTCTATATTTTGCAGCTACATCCCCTTCCAGGCTTTATCACTGTTTTGGGTGATTTGACTCTGCAGAATGCTTCATTCATCTTCCTGTTTTCTCTGTGTGGCTTGTCAATTTAGACTGTGAAATCTTTGGAATAAAATCTGCCTCTTAGTGTATTTTAGCACTGCCTACCATAATGGGACCTTATTATTATTACTTTTTTTTTTTTTTTTGGTGCTGCATTACAAGTAATAGGAGTTGCAGTCATTTTCCTTCCCCTCGGAGAGGCAATTTTAAGATCTAATTAATCTTGGGGGATGTGTGTCTATCTTAATTTATATCATTTAGCATATAAACAGGTAATAATGTAGTGCTTGTCATTTTGTTTACAGTGTGGTTTCCTGTCGTTACCAGATAGAGAGCTGCTTGGGCTCTGAACATAAAAGCTGTTATTTTTCTGTAGAAAAAGCTCACAATTCTTGTAAAATTTTTAATTGAACTTTACATATCACTGTGGTGTCAGCTTATGGTTTGTCTGGAGTTGAGCTCTTGTGCACTAACTGTCATTGTGTTTCCTGCGAGACACCATATCACATCTACAGGCATAATTCTGCTGCGTCAAAAACCCTACAACAGATGGGTAAAAGGCAAGCATGCGGTATTAACCTTTGGTGACAGCTAAACTATCTAGCTGGAACTATGAGTGGCAGTTAGAGAAGATAATTGTCATAGGAAGCTAACAACCAACCAGAAAATGCTACCAAGCAAGAATTTCACTTGAAGCAGAATGAGAGCTCTTGCTTGCAGATATGGCTGAAATGGAAAAGTCATTCCACCTATTTTTGGAGGATTAGGAAGGATGGGAAGACTTGGGAGTAGGAGCTGCAGTACAGATGCATGCAGTCCTTGGTCAGAGGGTTCACTGGATGGATACTAAGTATTTAGAAAACAAATTAGGTTTTATTGTATTTGTTTACTCGGAGGCTATAAGTGAAGCAATTACTTTAAAGTGGGAGAAAAATATATCCAATGTATCTGAGGCATATTTATCTTAATTTGCAAGGGAGCAAACAGGAGTAACAACAATAGTCACCCTTGCTCACCAAAGAGAGATTAAGCATTTGTTGGCTATAAAATAAGAGAAACGACAAATGTCCGTGGCTTCAGGGAGTCATTTAGAGCGCATAGGAGAGGTGCTCGCTGGAGAAAAAGCACAAGGCTAGCAAAGCAGCTGAAAGCACCTGGAAGAGCAGCAAATTAAGGCTTCAGTACTGCCCTACTGACCAATGCCCAAGTAAGCTGTGCTGATAATTGTGGGCTCTGTACGCATAACAACCTCAACACTTAAACTTTTAAGAGTATCACTGAGTAGAAATTTTGCGGCTTAAGGGCTGTCAGGAGGGAAAGGTGGTTTATATTTAGAAAGCTGGTGGGAGGAGTGCCCTTACCCTGCTGTGGGATTTGTGGCTCTCCAGGGGTGAACATCTTGTTTTGACACCCGTATGTTTGTGTGTACTCACCATCCACCTCCTTTATGGCACATTAAGAAACTTTTCTGTCAGCGCACAAATACATGTGTTAATTACACACAGTAAGTGAATAATCTCTGAAGCTTTTTTTGTCTGATATTTTGTGTGTGTCTCTCTCTTACCTTCTAATGGAAGAATTACCTTGAGAAAATAATATATGACGAATTGATTCTGGCTCAAACATTTCTTGTATATATTATAGCAGTGGTTTGCTAAATTAAGTGTTTTCTAGGAAGGCCAGCGTGTGATGCCAGGAATTCATAGAATCATGGAATGGTTCAGGTTGGAAAGGACCTTAAGACCAACTAGTTCCATCACCCTGCCATGGACAGGGATGCCTCACACCAAACCAAGTCGCCCAAGGCTCTGTTCAGCTTGGCCTTGAACATGCTTAGCCCTCTTCTCTCTCCTTTGTGCAAATTTAGCAAGTAGCATCTTACACCATCTGAAATATTGTAGGTAGCTTTCTGCTTAATAAAAACATTTGAATCAGGGATTTTTTGTTTAAGCTTTTGAGATTGGCTTGACCCTGAATTTTTCACAAATACACATTTCAAAGTCATCTTTGCTACCCAGTTTTTTAATTTGGTAGTGCATTTTGGTCACATTCTTCAACTGCTCTCTTTTACTTATGAAGGTCAGAAAAATCTCTTAGAAGCTTAAGCTGAAGTCAGAGATGCTGGCAGTGACATAGGTCTGAGAGTTGACGCTCTAAGGATATATGTGAAATGTTGCAAAGCTAGTGATGAAACAGGGACATTTCTGGGACAATGCATGTATCCCTCTCATGGCTGTAATTGTGCAGGACTAACGTATGCACCAAAGCAAAAAGTTTGTACACGAGTGTGGATAGGGAATTATTCCTCTAGCTTCCCATAAGGGCAGATCCTCTTTTTCCGCTTCAGGAATTAGGATTTTGAACTTAAAGGTAATGGAGAAAATGTGCTGGTATTAGCTGGCAGGCAATATTGTTTTACTTACTACTAATAAAGAAGCCATTCAGGCTTGCAAGACTGGAGCAAGCTTTCAAGGTAAAAATGAAGTCTTTTATTAAAACCCATTGGCTTTAGAGAGGTGAGAAAAAAAAAATTAGGGCAAAAAAAGTCAAACCAGGGCTGAAAAGAAAAGTTGGTGTATTTGTAACAATCAACCTTTACCCCTCCTTACTTTTTGAACTTATTTCACTCAAATGCTTCTTTATGGAAGGGAGGTAACAAAGTAATTAAAAATAAAAAGTGCTTTGAAGGCTCGTTTCACCTTTGTGCTATTTCCTGTGCTTCTTGCAGAGTCTCTGAGAAGCAACTGGGCTAAACTGGGACTTTTATTATTTCTGAGAAATGGCTTCCCATCATTTTATTTTTAAATTGCTGGGCTTATTTCAACAGTGAGAAAGTGAAAAGGACTGACAGCTGTACTGAGCAGGGCTTTAAGAGACACTTAACACAGCGCATTTAACATTTTTTGCAGAGCAGTGAGAAGAGTTGATATATTCACGCTAATCAAGTAAATCAAACAAGAATCAGGTCAAGCATGTTTTAGTTGTTTATGGCACAGTTTCAAACATAACTCTAGTTAGCAGCAAGCTGAATGAAGTGAGAGACAACTGCTACATATAAAGGTCTTGGTGCCCATCAGTCTTTGAGGAGTAGAATGCCTGTGTTGCCTATATATTTGATCATGATAGCTGTAAACTTGCTAAAGATGGTAGCACATCTATCAGTGTTCTGGAAAACAAAGAAACCCAACTAACAACAGGCACAACACCCCCCTTTTCCAAAACTGTAGTGATTTTAAAAAACAGTATGATGAGTCCTTCCTGATAGATTTTTTCAGATGAAGTAGTGACATTTTCCCTAGCTTAATAAGTGTTCTGGCCTACCTACTCCTCCCCTCTATAAATCTAATGGAAAAATTACCTTGAGAAGATAATACATGACATATTGATTCTGGCTTAAACATCTGTTGTATATATTATGGCAGTGGTTTGCTAAATTAAATGCTTTCTAGGAAGGCCTGCATGTGATGCCAGGAATTCATGGTATAGGCTTAGCTCTCTTCACTCTCCCTTTCTGTAAATTTAGCATCTTATTATGTCCCTGCCTTGTATAGGAACATAGATTACTGTAAAGTGATTATCATGGGAAGCACTAGCCCAAGGCAATAGGTGGAAGAGGTGAAACTGCCAAATGAGCTGATAAAGAGGACATGAAATCCGATGTTTAAGGTTGCCCATATACATCGGTGCCATTTGTTTTTGTTATGGGCTGTTCTGTGAGTTTGAGATTACACCCAGGGAGCCTAGCAGCCACATTTGCTCTTTTGTACACCTTCTTTTTAAATACTTTCGGCCAGCTTGTGTGATGCTGTGCCACAGTGAAATCCCTGATGCTTATACCAGCTGTGAGAGTGACCTCCAAAGTTCTCTATGGCCCCTCCTTTGGCCTTTACAGACCTCGGCTCCTCTGAGGAGCTTTGGAAAATGGAGCAGATTCTCAGGATTTCTGATCTTATGTGACCTGCAGAGCTAGTGACTTAAAAATCTGTAAGATGTTCACAAATCTTCTCTTACCTTGTAAAAGACAGTTGGGCTGTTCTGCATCCCCCAAAGTACCGCTGCCAATGAGACGTTCTATAATGCAAGACACAATCCTTTTCTGATGAATGAAGGACATGGATGGCTAGAAGATTTCAGTTTCCATTTTTCTCAGTAGGAAAGAATTTCTGTCACTTGCGAACTTTAAATAGAAAGGACTCTGAACTTGATGAGCTTTTTTTTTTTTTTGAATTGTGAATGATGCTCAGAACAATAATTTAATAAAGCATGGGGAAATTCTTCTGTTAGGATCCATCATTAATCGTCTCCCCCTTCTTTAGGCATTTTGCTATTAATTTTTAAAAATATTTAACACCTTGGTGACGAATCTGAGTTGCCAAGAGACTGAATGAGTAAGCAGATGCTTTGCTGTGAATGTCAAAGATACTAAACTGGAGGTTGTCTTCTCTATGCCTTTGATTTTCAGTGACACCAACATCTTGCTGATTTGAGACATCTCAGATAATGGGCAAGATGACAAGCCACGCAAATCCATATAATAGTTTAATTATGAGTAGGGAGCTCACTTGGCTTGAAAGGTACATTTGCTTTGGCTTACAGGCTTCCTGTTTTTTCCCCTGAACTGTTTCTTCCTGCATGCTTCCTCTTGTGCTATTGTTCGTTGGCTTGTTTAGGTTTTTTTTCAGTTCTGTACATTGGAAGGTCTTTTAAAATTAAATGAGATGAAAGGTGTATCTCTTAAAGCCCTGCAACATGTTGTACTTCTAAATGAACATGTAGGGAGCTTGGTGTGTGTACTGTGTCAATGGTGAAAGATGTCTGTATGCTGAAGGGGTAAGGACTGTTTTGCAGTGTAGCCTTGATAGCGGTTATGTTTGCCAACGTGTATCTTTCATGATACTGATTTAATAAATGCTTACTTGCAACTCCTGTAAAATAAATTGTTCCCTAGTTTTGCTAGGAATAATTCATAATTTGTTACTCTTCCCTGCTGATGTAATATAGTAGATCAAATCTGTGACCTTTACTTCAAGGGGAGTTCTGTAACTGAGCCTTTGTCGGGGTTTAAACCCAGTCAGGTAATTCGTTTGCTCACTTCCCCCCCTTTCTTGCCCTCCCCCTGCTCTCGGAGGGACGGAGAGGAGAATCGAAAAGTGCAACTCCCACGGGTTGAGATAAGAACAGTTTAGTAACTAAGGTATAACACAGATCACTACTGCTACCACCAATGATAATAATAAAGGAAATAACAAAGGAAGAGAATATCATCTCAGATAATCACAGATACCTCCTCCAACCCTGCAGTCCCCCAGCCCTTCCGGCTAACTCCCAGTTACCTCCTGGGCATGACGTGCTGTGGTATGGAATACCTCTTTGGTCAGTTTGGGTCAGGTGTCCTGTCTCTGCTTCCTCCTGGCTTCCCCTCCTCCCTGGCAGAGCATGAGGCTCACAAAGTCCTTGGCCAAACCAAAACATCGCTTGTTATCAGCTCTGTTCCCTAGCTGAAAGTCAAAACACTGCACTGCACCAGCCACCAAGAAGGGGAAAAATGACTGCTACTGCTGAACCCAGGACAGCCTTGCAGATGGGATTATTTCAGAAATCACAGTTGCATATGAATTCATCATGTTAACGTGTGCTTCACAACGAACATGAAGGGTGATGTGTTAGCTGTGACAAATTTGAAGCGCTAACTGGTTCCTTATCATATGGGCTCAGTGCATGGATAGTTTTGGCCTTTTCCTAGAAGCGGGTGTTTGGTTAGGCAACGAAAGTAAGTGCTTTATGTTACTTTTGTACAGGGGAGGGGAAAAGTCTCAGTAGCCTCTGTGCTCTCCCGTGAGTTGCTGGACAACCCTCTCACCATTTGATTTGTGGTCATTGAACATGACTTTAGGCTGCTCTATTACAGGACTTCTTGGTAGGTAATGAAAGGATTCATACTGGAGGCAACTTCTAGACATGCTTATTTAACCTGAAGTCTTCCTTTAGTCTTAGTAGTGCATTTCTGTTCCTCTATTACAGAAAAATGCCAGGCAGGAAGAAGGCAGCTGCAGGTCTCCTTCCTTGTGCCGGAATGGAGATGTAATCAGGATTGTTAGTCTATGCTGCCTTTATGGGTGCAGTCATGTTATACCTTAATGCTCATGTGAATTATTTCTGTAGGCCCAAAAGAGAAAAAATGTTGAAAGTACCAGGATTTGATATCTTTGCTGAGAGCACTTACCCTATTTTAATTTTTTTTTTTTTATTTTTTCCATGAGACTTGTTTTGCCACCTACTAATGAAAGGAGGCAGGAATCCAAATGTATTCTGCTTGCATTAAAGCCTTATGTTACCTGCCTTTTACAGCAGAAGCAGCATGATGGTTTGCTGTCACTTGGATTCCTTCGGTCTTGATAGTACAGTGTTGATCGAGTTAACTGCAGGGCAAGATTCTTCCTAGGTAGGTTCTGGACACCCTAAAATAAAAAAGCCTGAATGCTACTTGAATGCTACTGTATAGCTCTTGTAGATTTGTTGATAAAAAAAGCAGCCACTTTCATTTTTTTTTAAACACCATAGTAAAGAAATCTTGTTCTGTTGACAAGTTCAGCATAAGTCTTGTGCAATACTTCTCCCCCTGCTTGGATCCTCCTCCTTCTCCCATCTGCTACCTTCTCACTCTAAGGAAAGGGAACTCCATTCTGTCAAAGCACAGTGCCACTGAAAATTGGGGAAAGACTTTTAAGAGCAGCTTTTGGATGGGGCCATTCACTGAAATCAAAACAAATATGATCTCAGCTCATTGTAATTTTGCCCTGCATACCTAGCAAAAGGCTAAGGCTAGCATGTAGAAAGATGCAGTCCCTCCAGTGGAGTATATGCAGTTCAAAAAGGCAGAATCACTTACTAACGCCCATGATTGGTGCTCCATGGCAACATGTTCTTGCAAGGAAAATAGCATAAATACCGATTAAGCAAAGAGATTCCCCAGCAAGCAAATTAAATGCCAGAAATTGAACAAGAGTGTGGATATTGTTTTCTTCTCTCTAGGTAATTAGGGTAGCTACCATTAAAGTATCGTAATTGAAATGGATGCTCGATAAGTCTTTTGTCCTGCTTCAAATGCAGTGTACTTCTTTATAGTTACTAGCTTCCATATGCTTTGTGAAGCTGTTGCTTTCTAACTTTGAGAATTGTTTCCCTCTGCAAAGATCTTTTGCTTGCTTCTGCCTGATGCTGACTTGCAAATTCAGTGCAAGCAGCTAAAGCTTAAGATGATAGGCTTGTATTATTACAGGGACTTTGTGTATTGTTGAAGTCCCTGGGGCTGAAGCTCAAACCTGCAAACTGTCTTGACTAGAGATGAATGTGCTGAATTTCACCTGATCCTTGGGAAGAATGTGCCCACAACTGGCAACCTCTGCCTGTAAGAGCTAAGGGTTAGAGAATTTCAGGACTGTTTATGATAGTTTGGCTTGAGATATCCAAGTATGAAAGTGCAGTCACCTACAAAATAATGATAATAAATGTGCTTATGCTTCCTTTGTGGCAAGAATTTCACTGGAGATACTCAGTTGGCTATATGGGGCAAGAGCAGCAGAAATCAACGAGACTGTCTGCTGGAGATGCTGAGCCTGCAGGCTCCACAGCTGAGAGCACCGAATGAAAAGTGTGGTGGGTCTGAGGGAGGTAAAACCACAAGGCCCTGCTTGAGTCATGAATGCCACACTCCCTGCTGCAGTGGGCACTCCATCTTATCCTCATCACACCTTTGTTGGAGTCCATGTGGCCATGAATTAGATGTTTTTTATTTCCTCTATTAACAGGGTATTCTAGATCCATACTCCTTGGCTGTCTGAAAGCCTGTTTTACTGTTCGCTGTAAACTTTTTGCATGTGTGCTTCTCTCCACAACCCTAAAACCTAAGTAAAAATTCTAACTCAAGATTTTGTGATCTCTTTACAAAACAGTGGGACAGATGTAGGAGAGATTATATAGGTGAAAACTCTGTAGGTACAACTTGCCTGAAGTCCAGTTTCTCTGCTTTATGCAGTGTGATGACTTGTTTTGTCATGTACTGGCTCCGCAGAAAAAACATCCAGGCACAAAGCAAGTATTTTATCCTGTGAAAATCTGGTTTCCATTCTGCTGTGTAGCACTGTAAAATAGTCTACTAAGCTGCATTAGTGTTGGTTAGAGGAAGAAAACTTGAAGGCTTGGAATCACATTGTAAGCTGTTAAGCATCTGGCCAAGGCAGTTAAATGCTGATGATGCTGCAGTACTGCAAAGCTGTAACTTGAATAAATGCCTTCTGTAGTATAGGATGCCTCCATTTGGTGTTCTGTACATGACATGCAAAAATGAAAGGCATTTCTAGATGCGGAAGTTAAAAAAAGAAAAAAAAAGGGTTTGTTCCCTTATTTTAAGGAAGCAAATATTTATCAGAAATTGCTTCCACCTATTTAAATTTCCCCCCCTCAGCTTGGGGTAGATCTAATAGAGTTTCTCCCTAAATATAGAGAAACTCTGCTGAAAGAAATTGCTGACAAAACAGTGCAAAACCATGTGATACATTAGTATACAGTGGGAAAGTGAAGTTTGGATTGCATGGTGCAATGATCTGACTGTCTTTGTATTTTATTTATTTGTTTTTTTTAAAGCTGTTGCATTGCCCAGAAGAGCTGGAGTTCAGCTATTAGGCTGTTCCTAGCAAGAGCAATAGCCAAAAAGCTCCCATAGAACTGTACCAAATAAGTCTTTCTGGAAATGAAATTCACTCACTTCTAACCTAGTCAAGCTGCCATCAACGGTTTATAACTAAGTGTAACTTTAAGGCTTGATCTCTTTCATAACTAGTGAACCTGTGTCTGGCAGCTTTAAAATATGAATGGTGTGAATTAGCTGTCTTACTGCTCTGGAACATTTCTGGTGTACACTTTCATGGTAAATGAGATGCATGACACTTGCATGGAATCTGAGTGATTTCACCCAAGGTTTTTAGAGTAATTTTAAAGTTGTTTTGTGTTTTTTTTTTTAATTTTTGTTACCTTTTTTTTTTGTACACACATATTAAAAATAATTAAAAAAATATCCCGTTGGTTTCAGGTTGCCTAAAGAAGCTGTGGCTACCTCATCCCTGGCAGTGTTCAAAGCCAGGTTGGACATGGCTTTGGGCAGCCTAGTCTAGTGGAAAGTGTCCGTGCTCACGGCAGGGGAACTGGAGCTAGATGAGCCTTAAGGTCCCTTCCAACCCAATCCATTCTGTTATTCTTTGTCTTTAGGGGCCCAGTTTCTTGAGCTCTTAAGGCAGTCTGAATTCCATCACAGTAGATAACAGTCAGGCTCTTTTTGGTGTAATGGATTGATTTGGGTATTCCTTTTCAACTTTTACTGTTTTCATATCCTGGTGATGCAGGATGATTATATGGTAATTGCTGTTCACTTTCTGTCCAGCTTGCAGCTCCTTTTGTTACATGATTGTAAACTATCTATGCTAATTCTAATGTCAGAACCCAGGTAGTCGCTCTATTATTTTAATGCTCAGAGGAAGCAACAGGATCATTTTGTAGTTGTGCATGATGTGTTGACCCAGATTTGCAGACCACTTGCATACATACCTGTATGTGTACAAAGATGTGAAAACAGATGTACAAGAATAACTTGTGGATGTCATCTCTCTTTCATTCATGTTCCAGGGCTATGGTGTAATAACTTAGATTTTTTCTCTTCATGTTACAGTAATCTAGACAATACTTAAAATCATGCTCATTTCCTTTTAAATAGAAACCAAGCAGTGGCTGCTAGTCTAGGATACAGTAGAAAGTATTTTGAAGTATTTCTGGGTCTGTTTGGAGATTCCACCAATTTGTAGCTGTTTTAAGGAGGGGTTAAATAACTTTTGTTGTCTCACTCCATATTGTTCTTTATCAGAAAGGTCTAAGAGAGTCTCAAAGTAGGATTGGTTCTCAAGGCTTTTCTTAATGTTGGGTTACAAGGGAAGTGCTAAATAACTTCAACCTCCTTACACTCTTTAATCCCAGCACTACTTATCCACCCTGCTCACCAAAAAGTCTTGAATGTAGCTGTATTTGCTGATCTTGCAAGTTGTGTCAGTTGTGATTCACTGTTGTAAGAAGTTCAGGTGTGTTATTCTGTCTGTTTTGAACAGAGTGACAGAGAAGTGACAGGGAAGTTCATACTGGTGTTTTCAAGAAACCATTCAGTGACAAATGAATTGCAGTAAGATGGATCACTTTCAAGCAGAGAGTGAGCAGATTTCTCTTCAAGGCACCATGGAACAATCTGAGGTTCTGATTAAGGTGGGTGATTGCCTTTATGGAGGGCATAAGGTGGCCCTTTTAATTATTTTAGTAAGGGTACAGCTGAGCTTTTGATCTGGATGTTAAGCAATTAATTTATCTAACTTTTTTTGTGAGGGTAGTAGTAATCAGGCATTCCTTTAAAACTCATTTGATCTCACCCTCATGAATTTGGTGTCTTCTTCTCAGTGTCCTTATTTGTGTTTTCCCAACACTGCTTTAATTTTATATTAACACTGCCTGAATGCCTTCTTAAAGCTGAGCATTTCTTGCTGTTTAGGATCACTTGTGGTTTCTCTTCCAGACTAAGACTGGCTCTTTGCATGAATATTTAGCCATGTTGTTATGTTGATAAAACAAAGTCATCTTAGGGGTAGTCTCAGCTTTCCTGTCATGCATTGGTGTGGCTGTTCTTATGCTAATCAAACTGGAATGTCTTGTGCAAGTCAATGCTCAAAAGAAGAAGGATGGAATCTGTAATAATTCTGAGTAGTGGATGTTTCTTCAGAGAACTGCAATCTGCCCTGCATAAAAGGAGCTGTGGTCTGTCAGTAAATAAAAGGCTTGAGACTCCAGTATGCACAAAGCCTCCATCTTCGTCAATGGGTTGGTTCAGAACAACAGCAACAACAGAGAAAGGGGAAACAAGTTTGTAAAAAGCAAAAAAGGTGCTTCACTTTTCTGATCAACCAGCAAGGCATGTGTCTTACGAGAATCATTCTCCCAAATTTGCTCTACCTTCTGTCTTCATCACATGAGGTTGAAATAGGCATCATAATGATGACCAAGAAGAGGGGAATATACTGGTCTTTAGTCTGAAACATGTAAAAATTGTGAGTGAGATAGCTGAAAACATGGGACTTTTTTCTGGGTAGTGAAATACGTAATTTCCAAGAGGCAGATACTTTGTGTATGTTTGCCAGATTCAAGACAAATAGCTGAAGTGACATAGCGAGGCTTCCAGCGTGGATTTTATAATCCTGAGAATGAGGAACATTTGCATGAGCACCTAAGCAGTGTATCCAAATCTTGATCATTCTCTATGAAGCTCTTAAAATTCATACTTACATAGCTGCTTATGGGACAGTCATACCCAAATGTAACAAATGAGTATCACAGACTAAACCAAAAGTCTAGTATCTTAAATGACTCTTGTCTAAAATGAAGGCTCTCTTGACTTCAACCGTGAATGCATAGTAAGTGGATCCCAGTGATGATCCTGCTTATGTCTTACCTGTTTGACAAGTGTATTTTTGCTCTTCATATACATCCTCTCAGAAGGGATTGTGAAAAGCAGCTTCAGTGGTGAGTTTTTATTTAATCTATTTTATGCTGTGGTCCAGATGCCAGTTTCTGCATTTTCCTGGGATGTAGCCATGTCCAAATAACACTGTAGCTTCATATTTGGGGTTTATATATATATACACAATTTCAGTTTAGATTGAGCCTGAGTGCAAACCTTGCACTGGGTTTGCTCTCTGCTCACAAGGCATAGCCTCAGGGTTAGTGCAGCCCTGAGGGTTACCATTGTTGTCTGCAGGGCAGCAGGAAAATCCCCCCCCCCCCCCCAATCCATAGCATTATTTGATCTGGGTTCTTTACAGACCTGGCAGGGATCCAGTTAGAAAGAGCACATTGTCAGTGGCCACTCCTCAGCTATGTCTGAACATTCAAGCTTTTGCCTCATAAGATCATTAAATGTACCTGTGAGTGTGTAGATCAACTTAAACTATCTATGCCTGATGCTTTTCTGTTTAGCAGCACTTAATTGTGTATTTTAGAATCATGTTTATCCAAAGGCCTCCAGAGATGCCTTTCATGGTTGGATGCAGATAATTGAAAGTTGCTGTTTCCCTGCTCTGGGATGTCAGATAGCCTTTCAGTGAACCTGGGCGTTTCAGAGGTATCTGTTCCCTGTGGAACAGTGGTGGGAAGCTATAGCTCAGAAATTATTTGGAAATTTCATTTCCACTGATGGCTCTTTAAGAAACCTGGCATGCAGGCACAAAAGGTAGGACTACAGAGCCCTGGGAGAGGTGGTTAGGGGCTCTGAAGCTCAGATAGTCTTTTCATCAGTTCTCCAGGATACAGGGGAGGACCTTAAAAAGGCTAGGTGGATTTGGCATGTTAATAAATGGTTAGAACAGTGCTGCCATAGTCAGGGGTTTGGGTATTTAGATCGTGGGACTCGATTTCGGAGGCCAGGTCTGCTGGAGGCTGGTGGAGCTGGTCTCAGAAGGGAAGAGCTGTTTTGGTAGGAGGCTTGCCAGGCTGGTCAAGAAAGCTTTAAACTAGATGTGTTGAGAGAGGGGGGCATCGTTCCAACACACCCAGTTAGTTGCCAGCACCTGTAATAAATGCTATGAGCAATGTAGAGATATCCCAGCCACTCCAGCCAGTGAGCCGGCTTCAGTTGGAGCTCGGCTCAGATGCCTCTCTACAAATGCCCGTAGCATGGGGAACAAACAAGAGGAATTAGAGATGTGTGCATGTCTACGGGGGTATGATACAATAGGCATCACAGAAACATGGTGGGATGGCTCCTATGACTGGAGTGTTTGAATGGAAGGTTACAGGCTCTTTAGGAAGGACAGGCCTGGCAGGCGGGGAGGGGGAGTTGCTATTTATATCAGTGATAGGCTGGAGAGTACGGAACTCTGTCTGGGGACAGGAGAGCAGTCCACAGAGAGTTTGTGGGTCAGGGTTAAAGGGAGAACAGCTGTCGGGGACATTACTGTGGGGATCTGTTACAGACTGCCTGATCAAGAGGACTCTGTGGATGAAGCACTCCATAGACAGATAGGAACAACCTTATGCTCGCAAGCCATCGTTAATGGGGGACTTCAACCACCCTGACATCTGTTGGAAGGACGGTATGGCCCGGCACAAGCAATCCAGGAGGTTCCTTGATTGTGTGGAAGACAACTTCCTTCTGCAAGTAATAGAGGAGCCAACAAGGAGAGGTGCCATGCTTGACCTCGTGCTCACCAACAGGGAGGAGCTCGTTGGAAATGTGACTCTCCAGGGCAGCCTTGGTTGTGGCAATTATGAGATGGTCAAGTTCAAGATCCTCAGGACAGTGGACAGCGTGCAGCGTGCAGCGTGCAGCAAGATCACTGCTCTGGACTTCAAAAGAGCAGACTTTGGCCTCTTCAGGAGCCTGCTTAGTAAGGTTCCATGGGATATAGCCCTAGAGGGCAGGGGCCCCAAGGCTGTGGGTTGATATTCAAAGATCACCTGCTAGAAGCTCAGGAGTGTTGCATCCCAACTACAAGGAAGTGCAGCAGGAGGGCCAGGAGACCTCCTTGGGTGGATAAGGAGCTGCTGAGGAAAATTCAAGGGGAAAAAAGAGGCTTATAAAAGGTGGAAGCAAGGACAGGTGGCCTGGAAAGAATACAGGGATGTTGTCCAGGAAGCTAGGGACCAGGTTAGGAAAGAAGGCCCAGTTAGAATTAAACTGGGCTAGGGATGTGAAAGATAACAGGAAGGGATTCTGTAGGTACACTGCGAATAAAAGACAGACTAGGGACAATGTGGGCCCTCTCCAAAAGCTATCAGGAGAACTGGCCACCCTGGATTTGGAGAAGGCTGAGGTTCTGAATGACTTCTTTACCTCACTCTTCATTGGCAAATGCTCCGACCCCACCACCCAGGTCTTGAAAGGCAGACGTGGGGACTGTGAGAATGAAGACCTTGGGCCCACAGTTAGGAGAGGATCTGGTTCAAGACCATCTTAAGAACCTGAATGTGCACAAGTCCATGGGACCTGATGAAATATGCTGGAGGGAAGGAATGCCATCCAGAGGGACCTTGACACACTTGTGAGGTGGACTGATGCCAGCCTCATGAAGTTTAACCATGCCAAGTGCAAGGTCCTACACCTGGCTCGGAGCAGTCCCAGGCACAGCTACAGGTTGGGCAGAGAAGAGATTCAGAGCAGCCCTGCAGAGAAGGACTTGGGGGTGTTGGTCAATGAGAAACTTAACATGAGCTGGCAGTGTGCGCTCACAGCCCAAAAAGCCGACCATATCCTGGGCTGCATCAAAAGGAGCGTGACCAGCAGGTCAAAGGAGGTGATCCTGCCCCTTTACTCTGCTCTTGTGAGACCTCACTTGGAGTATTGTGTGCAGTTCTGGTGTCCACAACATAAAAAGGACATGGAACTGTTGGAACAAGTCCAGAGGAGGGTCACGAGGATGATCAGGGGACTGGAACACCTCCTGTATGAAGACAGGCTGAGAAAGTTGGGGCTGTTCAGCCTGGAGAAGAGAAAGCTGCGTGGAGACTTCATAGCAGCCTTCCAGTACCTGAAAGCGGCCTGTAAGGATGCTGAGGAGGGACTCTTTATTAGAGACTGTAGTGATAGGACAAGGGGTAATGCCTTAAAACTGAACCAGGGGAAGTTTAGATTGGATATAAGGAGGAAGTTCTTTACTGTGAGGGTGGTGAGGTACAGGAATGGGTTGCCGAAAAAGGTGGTAAATGCTCCATCCCTGGTGTTGTTCAAGGCCAGGTTGGACAGAGCCTTGGGTGGCATGGTTTAGTGTGAGGTGTCCCTGCCCATGGCAAGGGGGGTTGGAACTAGATGATCTTAAGGTCCTTTCCAACCCTAACTATTCTATGATTCTAAGTGTCTATGACTGAACTTGGGTTACCCAGGGTTTGACTACATGGCTAATTAGTAATAGGGGAAAACTGACAAATATGTGACTAATGTGCAGGAATTCACCTAATGAAAATAACACTACCTTCTTCCCAAGTAGCTCCCTTGCAACAATTAGCTACATAGCAACTACAGCTGTTCTGTGAATGAAGCAAGCAGGTTCCATGGTAGTCTTTGTGGACGGTCCGTACCCTGTGTGTGACTCACAGAATGAGAATTGTATTTTAGTGGTTTTATAGACAACATAACAGCAAAAGTACACAGGCACACAGGTAATACTGCTGCTACACTAGATAACATGTAATTTCTCATTCTTGCAGAAGGCTTCTTTTCTGTT